CAGAGATAACAAACCAATTTTATCTCAAGTGCCAAAACCTTCCTGGAATGCTACGGATTAGATGTCATCTGCAGGCTCAGTAGAAAAGGATGCCGTGATCAGTAAGGTGTATGTGGAAGATGTGTAACTAGTATCTGCTCTCTCTTAAGGAACCCCAGGAAGCATCTTCTCACAACTAGATTATATACTGTGGAAACTGGGGAAAGAAAAATTTAGAAATCAAGTCATTTCCTTCCCACTTTTCTTCTACCTAGAGGATGAGGTCTGGGATGAGAACAGAAGCTCTGGGAAATAAAAGGCTAGTCAGTTTTCTGGCCCATACCTTAAGGTACTGAATGATTCATCACTTGATAAGAGAGGAAACCTATGTCAAGAGGATGATAAGACTATGCCTAGAGACTTGACAATCTAAATTAGGGTGGAGGGACGCTTGGGTGGCTCAGGGGGTTAAGTGGCTGCTTTCGGCTCAGGTCAGGATCTCAGGGTCCTGGGATAGAGCCCCGTGTCAGGCTCCCTGCTCAGTAGGGGGTCTGCTTCTCTCTCTCTCTCTCTCTCTCTCTCTCTCTCTCTCTCAAATAAATAAAATTAAAAAAAAAATCAGAGTGGAGAGAATGAGAGAAAAATGCCCACATAAATTGAGATGTCATTAGGTATAACATTAAGAAAAATTTTAAGACAATAATGGAAGAGGGTCCAAGTAATTCACAAGAGGAAACAGCTGAGACAAGTCCCAGAAAGAATAGTTACAGCGACAGATACACAACAGTGCAGGTAATAATAAGTGCAGTATTATCACAAGGAAGCAAAACGACCTCATATCAATTACCAAAACTTGTGCCATGAGACTTATGAGTACAATATACTGGTGTAAAGGAATAAAGAGAGACAGAAGGGGAGAGAAAATACAGCACACTTTGTGTATTTATATGGAAATTTACAAACATGCAAGAAGAATGCATTTGGTGCATTTGGGTGAAAATAAAGAGCAGAACAGATGTAATCTTGTCATGGTAATTAGACTGTTACCTGACTGTATTAATATATGATATCTCATGTGCACATCTCTAGAGGAATACAGATAAAGTCTGATACTGAAGAGGATATCAACGATTCAAAAAAGTGCTTACATCAGTTTGAATTCAGTTTTCTGTCACTCCTAAGGGAAACAATCCAGACTCAAATAGAAACTAGGATCAGAGAAAGGTTAAGTGACTTCATTCTAAGGTAGGATTCTATACCCAGATAAACATTCAACCCAGAGTGAGGGAAAATAAGGGAATTTTTAGACATGCAGGGTCTCTTCAGTTTTACTTCCCATGTAATGCTTTCCCAGGAAACTACAAGAGAATGTGCTCCATCAAGGTAAGTGAGTAAACCAACAACAGGGAAGACACAGGATCCAGGAAACTCAAGTTCCAACTCAAGAAAGAGGCAAAGGGAATTCCCAAGATGCTGGGGAAGGATGGTAACTATGCAGCTGATTGTGTGAACCACAGTACAGACTAGCACAGTGGGTTAAAAGGTGGCAGGACTCTGGCTGGAGAGGGGAACTTTCAGATGATCTGATACAACTGCCTAGATGAAGATTATACTGAATGCCTGTTGGGGATTGTGGAAAGAATCAGCAATATGTAGGTGGGGAGCCAGCTTCAAGGATGGTCCCGAATGATCCCCCTTGCTGGTTGTATTCACACCCAGGTGTGGTCCCTTACACTGTACCAGAGTTGGTCTTTGTGATCAATAGCTTAGGGCCGAAGTGATGGCACGTCACTTTCCAAGATTAGGTTATAAAAGGCTGCAGCTTCTATCCGGGGCACCCGCTCTCTTTTGGATCTCTTGCTCTGGGGGAAGCAAGCTGCCATGTTGTAAGTAGCCCTATGGAGAGGCGTATATGTGAAGAATTGAAGCCTGGCCAACAGTCATCAAGGAAATGAGGCCTCTTGCCAGCAACCATGTCAACAAGCTTAGAAACTGATTCTCCAGTTTAGTTGAGCTGTATAATGACTTTAGTCCCAGATGACATCTTGACTACAACTTCATGAAAGACTCTGAGCCAGAACCACATAACTAAGCTGCTCTCAGATTCCTGGCCCTCATGAACTAGGTGAGATAATGTTTGCTGTTTTAAAAGCTGTTATGTTGGGGTGCCTGGGTGGCTCAGTCGTTAAGCATCTGCCTTCAGCTCAGGTCATGATCCTAGGGTCCTGGGATCGAGCCCTGCATCAGGCTCCCTGCTCCGTGGGAAGCCTGCTTCTTCTCCCTCTCCCTCTGCTGCTCCCCCCTGCTTGTGTTCCCTCTCTCACTGTGTCTGTCAAATAAATAAATAAAATCTTAAAAAAAAAAAGCTGCTAGTAGCAATAAATAACAAATGCATATAAAAACTAAGGTACATACACATCAAAGCTAAGCAAATAAAAAAACAAGGCATTTAAAAACTCTGAAAAAGTTACTCAAGAAAAAAAAGTAGGGGCGCCTTGGTGGCTCAGTTGGTTGAGCATCCAACTCTCGATTTTGCTCAGGTCAGGATTTCGGGGTCATGAGACTGAGCTGCACGTCGGGCTCTGTGCTGGGTGTGGAGTCTGCTTGAGATTCTTTCTCCCTATCCCTCTGCCCCTCCCTCTGTGCACACGCAGTCTAATAAGTAAAATCTTTAAAAACAAAACAAAACAAAAAAAGAGGGGTGCCTGGGTGACTTAGTTGGTTAAGTGTCTGACTTCAGCTCAGATCATGGTCTCAGGGTCCTGGGATGCTGTCTCCAGGACGCTCTCCAGGATCCTCTCTCTTTCTCTCAAATAAATTAAAAAAAAAAAAAAACAAAAAAAAAAAAAAAAAAAAAAAAAACAGCGGCACCTGGGTGGCTTAGTCAGTTAAGTGTCTAACTTCAGCTCAGGTCATGGTCTCAGGATCCTGGGATGCTCTCTCCAGGACCCTCTCCAGGGTCTTCTCTCCCTCTCTCAAATAAACAAACAAAACCTAAAAAAAAAAAGAGGGGCGCCTGGGTGGCTCAGTCAATTAAGCGTCTGCCTTTGGCTCAGGTCATGATCCCAGGGTCCTGGGATCGAGCCCCACACCGGGCTCCCTGCTCAACGGGAAGCCTGCTTCTCTCTCTCCTTCTGCTGCTCTCCCTGCTCCCCCTACTTGTGCTCGCGCTCTCTCTGTCAAATAAATAAATAAAATCTTAAAAGAAAGAAAAAGAAAGTAATCCATTTGGCCCAGCAGCAAACAAGTTTTAGAAATAATAAATTAACATATTGATTTAGTCCCAAATTATAACAACTATGTTGCAGATGGGGGCTAGAAGTGAGCCTTTAAAAGGGGCACCTGGCTGGCTCAGTTGGTGGAGCATGCAACTCTTGATCTCGGGGTTGTGAGTTCAAGCCCCATGATGGATGTAGAGATTACTTAAAAATAAAAAAAAAAAAAAAATCATAAAAAAAGAGCTAGAATTAAATACTCTTCTACTATTATCAAAAATTCAACAGATAATGTCTACATTTTAAGTCTAAAAATAGCCTATAAGCTATTTCATAGATAAAGAAGTAAATTATTAAAAAAAACAACAACAGTAAAAGATATTAAAAAGGCTGCTTTAAGGAGAGGTCCTGAACAATGTGGAGAGGTTTGGTGATTTACTTTATGCACATTTTAAACCACGTATGTGAATCACTTTAATAAAAGTAATTAAAAGTACAAACAGACTGTAACAAAGGGCCCAATCTAAGAAAATTAAGGACAAAACAGCATATATGAAAAAAACAGATCTCAAGCTCAACCTTAGTGAACAGGGTTATGTGATTACTAGAATTTTCTATTCAATAACAGGAGCACAGCATCTGGAAAAAGAGAAGCTGGCAGACCTTCTAGTCTACTGCAGTTAAGCAAAACCTCCAAAGTTCTATTCCCTCCTGAGAATTACACATTAGTATAATTCCAGTTGAGAGTTACTAAAATCATGACAGAAAATCCGTGACTGATATGGAATCCATGACACAGAAGGTATGACCGAAAGAAATGAAGATATTAAAGCTGAAACAGACTCAGGGAGACAAAGTGGTTGCCATTAATTATTTGAAGGGCAATTTAAAAATATCTGAAGGTTTAAAAGGCAGAAGAAAAACCAGACCTATTCCTATACTGTTTCAAGTCAGAATTAGGACCAAGAATTAGGACCTTGGAATTAGGAATACCAAGTATTTGTATACTTTTACAGGTCAGAATTAGGAACACTGGAAGTTACAATGAAACTCAGGTTTTCTTGTAACTAGAAATTAAGGAAAATGGAACAAGGCTGCCTTATGGAAGACAACTTCCCCATTGCTAGAGATAGTCAACCATAAACTATACAACCACTGTTTATAGTGGTTCTTACTTAACCTTTTTGAAGGTGCTAGAATGCTGGGAGAACCTAATTTTCCATAAAAACTCACTGATACACAATCACACACAATTTTGCATACATTTCTAGAGTTCATCAGCCCTAAGACGTACCTCCATGGACCCCAGAGTAGAAGGCTAGAGTATCTACAGGTTTCCTTCAGTTTCTGTGACTCCTTCAGTTAAGATAAATGAAGGGTAAATGTATCATACTGTCTCTGGCCCATGTTTCTGTTATCTATATGTGTGTTTCAGCTGTACAGGTTACCAGAACTATGGCCATCAGATTAGCATTTATGGTGCTTTGGGGAAAGAGGACTCTTCCGCCAGGTGGTCTAATTTGAACAAGTTCTCCTCCGGGCTGCTGTGGCCCACGTCGGAGCACACCACTTGACAACAGAAGTGCCCAGGCTGGATGTTAGTCCCCATTCACCCATGCACAGGACACCTTCATACAAGGTATGAAGGTACAACCAGCTCCAAGGTAACCAGCAGGCCAGAGACTGGTTATCTGGCTGAAGAGCTGAAGTATCCAAATTTTTACCAAAGTAGTACAATGAATTTTACCATTGGTTGTTAAATCATCATAATACTTGGGGGAAAAAAGTAGGAAAAAAGTGCATTACCCCATTTTTACTTCCAATGAAGAAAACAGATTTTTCTCCAATTTCAAGTCCATCACCTTCACTTCCACTACTTCGTTTTTCCACTTCGGCTTTTGCGATTTCCCAGAGAGTTTCACTAGGAGAGGCAGAAAAATAAAATTTAGAGAATCAAAGGGAATGCTTTCCAATATTTATTTCAAGCTCAGAGAAATTTTACTTCAAATTTATAAAACAAATCAACATTATTTCCTGGGGGACAGTAAGCTGATAAAACCTCTGAGGATTAGTCATTTTCTTTGTCCTGGTTCATAGAAGAAAGCTGAAAATGATAAGCAGAGACTTTGTCGCTAGGATTTGAGGCTGCCTTATTTTGGGACTTCCAGCCAAGGCTGAAAGCTGTCTGAGTTAGTTTCTTAGACATGTACATGAATGTACAAAGAATTTTGGGAATCTACAACTTGAAAACTACCAACATCTAGGAAAATGGGGAGCATGTAAAACCAGCATACCAAACAATCTACGTTTTCTGAAATTTTTTTGTTTTTAAATTATATTTCTGGCTCAAGATTCCCTGTTTTAATATATAAAACATAATGAAAGAAAAAAAATCTAAAATCACATTTTGAAAATCATCTTTCCATTCATCTCTCTACAAACATATGTATTTTTTCACAAATAAGATTATATCTTTTTTTTTAATTAAAGCCAAAATGAAAAATGGGAGTATTGAACTAAAAAAATACAGACAAGATTTGATGTGTTCCAAGCATGAATCTGCTACTTTCTACATATACCAACTTGGGCAAATTATCCAACCTCTCTGGATTCTTCATTCTTTTATTAATTCAACAAATATTTATTGAGCAGCTAATATATGCAAGCTTCTGTGCTCTTCCCCAGGCTTACTTCTGTTTCTTCTCTAAACTGCCAATAAAGAATACCAACTTTTTAAGATTATCACGACTGATTGTCAAAATGTGATAATTCATTTCATTTAGGGCTTGACCTAAATATAATTATCTAAAATTATTGAGAGCTTATAATTATTCAAGACACAGGGATGAAGAAGGGGCTATAAAAGACCAAGAGAGGTGTCCCTAAATGTCTGCACTTATTTCACAGGTGAACCCCCTGAAAGTCAGTCCAGGCCTGTCTGCTCTTCATTTACACGCCATTCTTTCAAAACGTGATTATCTGCTTTCCAAGCTCCCAGCAGAGAGTAGAGCAGGAGGTGCCCCTGGTGGAAATTTGTAACTATAACCATGTGCAACCAATTATCCCACGATGGGAAGTAAGCTGACAATTTTTCAGATAAAGGTTCATAAACTCAACAGAGATGAGGCCATGATCCACAGGGTGAGAAAAACAGATTTATCCTGCTCTGTGATGGACTCCAGAACCCCTCTCTGTCCCTGACCTCCTTATAAGTTGTTCAGAGAAGGTTCAGGTGTGATCTTGAGAGCAGGAAATTAAAACTGACATCACAGAACTGAAGAGCTAAAATATATTTTACAGGCCCCCCTTTAAACGCCATCTTACACTTTTCACATAGCTTTCTCAAGTTTCCCTCATTTACTGTTGTCCTGAAACCCCGCACCAAGAGGGGAGATGCGGAGAACTCTGAGGAGGTGGCTTTGTGGTCTAATTCACTGCTTGAACCCCTGCTTCTAGAACATTCCTTGGCCTGCAAGAAATCTTTACTTAATAAGTTAACGGTTGGAGTTTAATGATCTTTCAAAATCTTAAGTTTTCTACTCGAGGAACTTTTCTACCTGTCTGTGACTGAATCCATATGTTCAAGGGTAGTTCCTAGGGATCCCTGACCATCCAGACAGGGGTTGCAAGCAAAAAAGATCCAGAATTTTCCTCCACAGGCAGGACCTCCTGGGCTCCTCTCCCTAAATATACCCCCAGCGGCCCTCCCTCCCCTGCTCCTTCCAGGTGGGGTGGAAAGAGGAGAAAGCCAGACTCTCGAGGGGAGAGTAAACCGGGGGCAGGCAAGGCTGCGGGGATACCTGGGCATCGTGGCTCGACAGCCCCAGCGTCGTGGGCTCAGCGTTTGGGGCCAGCTTAAAAGCAGGACTCCAGCAAGCTCCGAGACCTGCCGGATTGTGCGGACTCTTGGGTTGCCATGGGAGCGACGTCGCAGGCTGCGTTGCGTGCGAAAGAGGGCATCATGGGAAATGTAGTTCTCAGCGTTCCTTTTACAATTCTTGCTCACTGCCTCGTCCTCTATGTGAGAGAACGAGGTGATCCGTCTGACAAACCTGGAACCTAAAAGCTCTGGGCTGGAAGTGTTCTTTTACTTAAAAAGTATTCTACTGGGGGGCACCTAGGTGGCTCAGTCGTTAAGCGTCTGCCTTCGGCTCAGGTTATGATCCCAGGCTCCTGGGATGGAGCACTGCAGCCCCGCACGGGGCTCCCTGCTGAGCGGGAAGCCGGCTTCTCCCTCTCCTTGTGTTCCCTCTCTCGCTGTCTCTCTCTCTCTCTCTGTCAAATTAATTAAAATCTAAAAAAAAAAAAAAGTATTCTACTGAGTACCGGACTATATGCCAGGGATGTCTGCTTTCTCTCTTCAGTTACTTTTCTCTCCCCGCCAGCAACACTTGGGAATGGAGGGTGAAACAAGCTGAGCTGAGCTGAGCTGTTTTCTAATGACTTAGTAGAGGCAAAGAATATTTGTGACTTTGGTATTTTCCAACTTTATGCTTGTTTAGTTGTTTCTGGGTTTATGCAATAGCACATCATTTATTGATAAGTTAATAAAGCAAACGCATCTCCATGATACTTCATTTACTTTATCTCCGAATCAATAGCAAGCAATGAGTTATTACTATAAGCACGAGCGCTACGCAGAGTATGGAATGAAGAGGTAAGACAAAATAAATAATTATACACCATTCTGCTCTTGAGAAAGATGCACACAACTAAATATAATAACCCAAAGAAAACCAGTGCTATAAGCTATTGTAGAGAGGTATAAAAAAAATCACATAAGAATAAGTAATTATGCCAAAGAGGGTTGAAGCCTTCAGGGCAGTGACAGTATTTGATCTATTTTGAATGCTCGGTAGACCTGGCCTCTCTGGCCCAAGATGTCCTGAATATTGAAGGAGATACTCTCCTTACACCCTTTTGCCGTTTGGCTTGGTGTAATGGTGTGATGTTCAAGAAGGTGGGTTTTAGATGGACTTAGACCTCCGTTCTGATTCAGTCACACTGGCTAAGTTGCCACATTGCCATAGTGGGTAAATCATTCAGTATCTCCAAGCCTCAGTATCTGATCATGTAAAGCAGGGGAAATTTATGAGTTTGAAATGAAATAAATATATGTAAAACAATAAATTATGTGTGCCTGACACATTATAAGTGCTTCATGCTTGTTATTATGTTGTAAGCTACCAATCAGCAACTTTGAACAAAGAAACACAAAGATCACATTCCTGGAAATGAAGCAAAAAAAATTTTTTAAGGAACGAAAAAAGGCATTCACGACATAAAATCTTTGGGAACAAAACCCTCCCAACACCTAGGTGCATTCTGAAGACACAGCAGACTACAGTTGCACATAGAAAGGGATGTAATAGGAGTGCAGTTCAATAGAGAGCGGATGATCACAAGGGAGGTTGGTACATCTGCCATTGAATCAGCATCTATATCTTGGAGCTAGCCTGCCTATAAGTTCACAGACTGGTGTGGGACAGAGTGTAATGAATTATATTAATTTGAGTTCTGGCACTTTGGAAGCCCCTTGTATGTTAATTAGGAAGCCCTGTTGATATGCATAACGAAAGTGGCAGCTAACATTTTGCCATTTACTTGCTATGTGCCAGGCACACTACTACTATCTTAAAGGTATAATTGTTTGGATAACTGGGGTAGAAGGTTGAAGAAAGAAGCCTGGTAACAAGGAAGGTAAAAGTTGTCTGGCTGGGCCCTGGTCACCAGCATTGGTTCAGAGGTCAATCAGGGGATTCTGCTGATCTCACTGAGCAGATGCGTTCCCTTTTCTACCCTTATGCCTCCTGAGGCCTCATATTTGGACAAAGTGACCTTCCTGGGTAGATGAAAATTGTTCTTAAGGTAGGAATAAAGATTTGAGCTCCCCTACTGGATCACCCCTTAAGACTCAAGGATTTCAATGGTGGTGATAGAGAAGAAGACAATTTTATGATGTTTGCTGGGTGGAATAAACAACAGTGCAGAAGAATAAAGATGTGTGCAGAGTGTATTTGGGGAATTGTGAATGGTCGAGGTGCAAGCATATAAAGTGTCTGGTGTGACTATGGTGGGAGAGCAAACTGGGCAGGTAGATTGGGCTTCGTTGAAGGATCTTGCAGCCTGGATTTTACTGTGTTGGTTGTATAACACCAAGTATGATTTTAAAATAGGGGTGCTCCAAGACTGGACCTGAGTTCCAGTGAGATAATCTTTTGCAGCTGTGTGAAGGATGTTTTGGAGCCTGGAAGTCCATATGGAGGCTATTAACAATAGCCCAGACAGTGACAGAGTTTTCACATTTTTTCCCTTGTTTTCAAAGTTATATAAGCTTATTGTAGAAAAAAAATAGTGTACGGAAAAAATGAAGAGGGTAAAAGAAGCACACCCCAGAAGCAATAACTATTAAACATTTTGGTGTATTTCATTCTAATCTGTCCTCTTACCGTTGAGATTTTACTGTAAAGTTAATTAACATTCTGATATTAACATGTATTTCTCATCTCAATTTTTAAAAATCCATCATAAACATAACTTTGATGGCTGCATAATATTCCACTATACAGGGTTCTCATAATTTACTTAAGCATTCCCCTCATTTATTTTTATTTTTATTTTTTGAGAGAAAGAGAGAGAGAGCACACATGCTGCACAGGGGTCAGGTGGGGGACAGGCAGAGGGAGAGGGACCAAGAGAATCTTAAGCAGGCTCCCTGCTCAGCATAGAGCTGGACTCGGGCTCGATCTCACGACCCCGAGTTCATGACCTGAGCCGAAATCAAGAGTCAGATGCTTAACCAACTGTGGCACCCAGGTGCCCCTCATATTGAGCATTTGACGTGGTTCAGAGTAAACACCTGAGTTGGGGCCCGTAGAGCCTTTCTCTGGGATTTTTTTAAACTAGAATTGGGAAGCTCAAGTCACTCCCCCTCTGGAGGAAATTGGCATGTTTTCTGCTGAATGAAGAAGCTGTTTTGTTGATAAGTTCCTTATCTATCCTGGATATTAACCCCTTTATCAGATACATGACTTGCAATTATTTTCTCCCATTCTACAGGTTGCCTTTTCACTTTGTTTCTTTTGACGTGCGGAAGTTGTGAAGTTTGGAGTTGTCCCATTTTTTTTTTTTTTTTTTTACTTTGTTGCCTGTGCTTTTGAAGAGTTGTCTGATTTAATAAAGCCACCAGTGTAATCTACCTTCTGAAAGGGATCCCAACCCCCATTCATCCACCCCTCCCATTGATTAGATTATGTTAGCAAAGTGCTGGAAGGAAGGATACCCTGTATTAAGTGCTGTGGTGACCATCTGAGTCTTGTTCTGGAGTTTAATAGATGGTACCCTAGTAAGCGAGTTTTTCTTTCTTGACTATTACTGGACCTAAAAATACTTATAAAGCATACGGTGAAGATTTCAGATTGACGTTGATTACAAATATGCCTCCAGAATCACTGTGACTATGTTTGATATAGGTAAAATTAAGTTCAACAGGTAAAATTATGGTGTAGCCCAAGTGTGTATTTCATTTCCTCACCCCAGCTTCTGTCCAGGTCCATCCATCTCTTCTTTGCAGGAGCCACCTTCCCAGTTAAGTGCCCAAGAGAAGCCTGAATCTCGGTTCCACTGGGATAAGGATGACTCTTACTTCACGTTAATATCTATGTGTGGACTTTACCTTAATTGGGAGTTCTTTTTTTTTAAGATTTTATTTATTTGAGAGAGAGTGCTTGGGCACGAGTGGGGGGAGGGGCAGAGACTGAGGGAGAAGCAGACTCCCTGATGAGCAGAGCCAGACAGGATCCCAGGATCCTGAGATCATGACATGAGCTGAAGGCAAACGTTTCACCAATTGAGTCACTCAGGCACCCCTTAATTTGGAGTTTAAAGTTACTCTTGTAGCAGTAAAATTCCTTTCTTCTTTCAGGGAAAAGAGAAGGGGGAAAAGCGAGAGGAGATACCATTTCTCCATGAACCCGTTAGCAGAGAAGCTTCTCCGCCCTGTTGTTCCTGCTCCTCACTGCTCTTCCCTCAGTCCCCACATTCCTGGAGCCATTGATCTGCAGGAATCAGTTCAGAGACTCTGCCCTGGGGAAGTCCAAATTCCATGGCAGCTGGGGGGTAGGTGGACAGGGGAAACGTGTTCTTGGCAACCCAGGAACACTTAAAGTCTTTGTCTAGCGAAATATGATTATCTGTGGTGGTTAATTCTTCAGGATTATACTACAGTACAACCGGGTAAGTGCATTGTTCTAGGAACCCGGCCACTATGTATTTTTTTTTTTGGGAAAAATTTCCAATCAATTAATAAGCACATTTTCGAACAAAGACTCTGTAAGTTGTGACTAACTTTTCTTGTAAATTGAGAGTTAAATTCATTTCCAAGCTAGGACACTATTTGACTTTTAAGGACACACGCATAAAAAAAATCCAGAACATTTGAAATAAATATTTAGAACACAGTCCGTCAACTCACCTGCATGAAATAAGCTACTTATGGAACCTATATGAAATCATGGGAGAACCCCATGATTCATACATATTGTATATGTGTCAATATGCATACATACATCTTAAAATTACAATTTGCCAAAACGGTTCCCTTTTATATGGATAAAACAAGGCAACACTGAAGACAAAGCATGAATGCAAGAGAAGGAGGTAATAACTACCATTTTCACTAGTAGTACACCTCAGCTTTGACAATGAAAACATTAGGTACTTCCTGAAGATTGTTCAAAAGATAATGCTCAAAATGGGTTTTGTAAATCATTTATTATGATTGAAAGGGAAGAAAATGATAGGAGACAAATATTACAATTAAACATGTAACATTATTCTCTTGTAACCAATCATAATAACATACTTTGAATTTTTTAAATGGCTATATAAGTAAT